TAGAAGTAAAAAGTAGGCTGAAAAATAATTACTCAGGTAAAGTACAGATAACAAAAATTTCTACTAAGTACAGTAAAAAAGTATTTGCACTTAGTTACTTTACAACTCTGCACAAAACAATTGATAAATCAGGGCAAAGAGGAGCTTGAAATAGAAGTGAAGTTTTCCGATTTAAACATTACAAAAGACAAACTGTAGGCTGGATCAATGGCGCTGGTTTGATTTGACGCTGGCAGTGGCTGCCTGCCAGAATAAACAAACATTGATATTCATTATTYTATTTTCTGGACAGTCAGCGCCAAATCAAGGAAGAGAGAAAATATTGCAGAACTGGCAATAATGTGAAAACGCAACACCACGGTCCTTCATGCCTCCTCCTTTCTCACTCCTCACCTGAAGACGATGTCGTAATAAAACTCGCTGCTGGCACGTATGCAGGCGACTGTTCCCTGCGGAGCGAAACGTGARTTGATGAAGGGCCGAGGGTGGAACATACTCAGCAAGGAGTGGATGAGAACCTGCAGCAGGAGAAGAACGGCCATCCGTACACAGAATAAGAAATGGAAGCTGCGATCCAAAACAAACTGAACAGGGGAACTACTTTTTTAAAGGCGTTACCTCTTTGCCTTTTGGGGCGGGAGGGTGGTACCGGTTATTGGGCAGGTATCRAGTGAAGATGTTCAACTCACTGGGAATCACCCACCAAGTGTCTCCAACTTCCAGCTTATTTTTGGGGGGCAGAAATACTCTGAACTGGCTGGCAAAGAAAGACAGCGAAGGCACCGCAGGGCCCTTCCAAGAGCGGAGGCCACTAAGTGAGCTGTGAGAAACCTGGTTCACAAAAAAATAAAAATAAAAAATACACAAAGATTATTGGAAATCCTGTGATAGTGGCTGCTTTAATAGAGCACTAAGCATGCTGTATAAAAACCAGCAAGAGGAGCTGGGTGCTTCCTTACTCCAAGAAAACCATCCTTGCTTTTCGTCATGGAGTCAAGCAGCAGAGCCTGCATCTTGGCTTCCAAYATCAAAGCCTCTCCATTTGGGTCATGAATCTCTTCCTCCTCCAAACCCACCGGGGCTGTGATCCCTGCGAGGATCCCCAACACAGTTACCGTGGGTTTTATGTGACCAGAAGGAAAGAAGAGCGTACGAGAGCTGAAACGACCCACCTGTGAGCTTCTCTGCTATGGGTTTGAACTCCTCTGGACTGAGATAGAGGTCATGGTCGGTGTCCAAAGAGGAGAAGAGAAAAGCGCCCTCGGCACCCAGAGTTCGAACACTCTCTTCCTGATGGAAGGAAACACTCATTAAAACAGACCCTTATTGTCAGAACACGCTTCAGAGATTCTGAATGCAAAACTAGGACGCTGAACAATGACGTCGCTTATAACACAAAATATTTGGGAACAGGGCTGATCACGTCAAAAGCTGCTGTAAATGCATAATGTTTCAATAAATAATCTAAAATCAGTTTGTCATTTTAGCTTCCATAGCTCAGCCTGAATGAAGAGTAGCCTTGAGGTTACAGATTACAAACATGGATTTCAGTCAGCCTTTCTAGTGATGCGTGCCTACCAGAGTCTGTACAATGGAGGGGACAAAAAGGGGGGGGAGAGAGGTTCAAGAACAATTTAGTTAGGATGTGTTTAAGCAGCTGGTGGACAGAACCACCCACCTAATGAACACTTCCAGTAAAAGGTGGGGAAACTGCAGATGAAGGCTTTAAAAACGAGAATAATGTAGAATTTAGAAAATCCCCCCACAATTACAGGTCATTAAACGCACCAGCGGGTCACAGAAAGTTAGCTTCGTCCTTATTATGTCCCGGACTATAAAGCGTGCATTCCAGATGTGGACCTTACGTGACGTCTGAAGAGCTGGACATCTTGATAGTACTTTAWCCCAAAGGCTAACAGCGGCACCGCGCAGAACAACAGCAGGGTCCACATCCCCCGGCAGAACCAGGATCCAGAGACCGGCGTGGTCCGGTGCCCATGATTTTGCCTGGTCTCGCGCTCTGTCTCGGGGCTTCTTTTATCAACGTCTGCGGCCATCTCTGACCCCGGTCAGAGCAGCTGTGTAGAGGAGGACGTCTGGTAAACAATTGCTCAAGATAACTTTTTTTTTCTGAGACTGTAAAAATACGTACGGCTACAGAAGAGATTACCGCGTCGTTTCCAGCCGTCTGTCGCGCGGCAGCTGTGCAATGTTAGCTAGCTGCATAGATTTACTATTTCCCACATCCTATCTGGAACCACYAGGATGCGGTTAGAAATACCAAGCTAACCAGATGGATATGATAAAACCGGAAATGGGGTGTGCATGAATTCAAAATAAAAGTTCGAACGGAAACCGTAACAACTAAAGCCTGGAGACGTGCTTAATGACACTTTAATTACAACAAAGTTTAAATCGCAAAGATGTTTTTTTTATTAAATCACATGTTAATTTGTACTGTGCTCGGTGAGCGCTAAACGATATCGAATTTTATTTTGAAAATCAAACCGGAACTAGCGTTTACTCTCTTCATGGAACTTTACGACAGAGGCACATTTAAAGGGGCAGCAAGAGCACCTTGGTCATCCAAAGAATGTCTGCTAACAAGCTGCAATTACATGTTTCTGTGCCAGAGGGATTTGTCTTTGTGTTGGAAAGTTTTTTTTTTTTTTTGTAGTCAGAAGAAACTATAAAAATGCAGTAATTCAAGAATGAAAATTTCCCAGAAGTTGGGATACAGCGTAAAATAGACAAAAAGAACAAAGAAACATGCTACATGATGAAAATGAGCATGTTTCTCTTAATAATTTTGTATTGTAGAATGCAATACCTTTTTAGCTAAAGAGCAATGACTTCCAGATAGAATGTGAAGTTAAATCACCAAATACAATTATTCTTTTTTCTATTTTAACACTCATCAATTAGGGATTAGAGCCAAAGCGTAAAACATTACATTATTATAGGTAATGCATAGTAGTAGAGTTGTAGTTTTTGGATGCAGTGATGAACTGTGCTTACTGACAATGATCTTTAGAAATATTCCTGGCACAGTTCAGTGATTTTCGCAAGATAACATCTGTTCTAAAGATTTAATGAGAAGTCTTCTGGGATGTCCTCAGTTAGGGGCAACAGAATTGTTATGTAAAAAAAAAAAAAGTGTTCACAGTTTGACATTAGGTCACCCTCCCCTCCAGCCCAGACCAAACTGCTGGTGGTCTCATCCTTCCTTTTGATACAGTTTGTTTGAAAGACAATCTAACAATCTCAGATTAGATCCATTCTGCTGCCTGTAGTTGTTTCATCCCAGGGATGTTTAGCTCCGCATTTCTTTTGTAATGAACTGATAAAGGTCAACAAGCGGAGCCTTTCTGGTGGTTTTTCTTTTCTTCATAAAACAGAACACGCATACATGCGGTCGACTTTGTTTGACCTTTTTCAAACAGGAGAGAAGAACAGAGCAAAAAATTGCAAAAAAAACATCTAAAAAAGATTTGGCATAGAGTAACTTGAGCACATCAAGTTTATTTTGACATTTACATCGAAAACGTGGCTGAGGCATTAAGTTTACTTTTTGTTATTCTTTCCTGTTTTGTCAACTTGGGGGCTGTCGAATAGAGAGGAGAGGCATTCACCAACAGAAACCTCCATCTGAAACTCAAATCTGTCCTTTCTGAAGTTGATGACATATTGAACTTGCGTATTACTCTTAGGTAAATAAAGCATCCAGTTTCTTACTATTGCACACAATTTTACCGTTGTGTATTTACACAAGAACATCTGGCTGAAATACAACCATTTTTTTGTCACAAAGCATCCGGAATTGTGACATTAACAAATAACTGAAGCGTGAATTTTTCTAAACACCCGTTTTGGAGTTAATTAGTTCTTGATTTCAAGCGGGTGTCTTTCAGTCCATGTCCTCCTCCACCGGCTGCGTCGTCACGTTGACAGCTTTCGGAGCGATGTAGGAGCCCATGCCTGCAGCTCTCTCTGCCTCGGCCTGAGTGTAGGGCTCCTCTCTGAGCTGCTTCAGCCTGGGTGGAGAGTGAAAGGGGAGCGTTCAAATTCTCTCCATAAAAAGCTCAAAGTCATAGTGTTGAGTGAACTGTGCCGTACCGTTTCTTGTGCACTTTAGTCTTGAAGTGCTCTTTCAAAGCCCTCATGTCCACAAAATACCTCCTGTAAGACATTGAGACGCAATTAAAACAACACGTTTTTTTTTTATTGCTTTTTAAAGAGGGTATGTACTATTTTGCTACAACATTCTCAAAAGTGGACAGCCGGGTACTTTGACAGGTGACCGTGTTACAGACGGAAGCTGACATATTGATTTGGTGGAAAAGAGGAGTTCCTCTGTGAGTAAAACAGAAAAAATGGTGAAAAGTTGCTGTAAACGACTGCACTTCTCACTTAAAAAAAACATCCAGAGAGTAAAGATTTTATTTTTCCAATTGCAAGAGTGAGATGGGAAAATGTTAAAAGACCAGTTGGGCAGGTTGTGTTCTGCCCTCTGCAGACCTCCATGCTGCTCCTTTTTAAACAAAGTCATCTCGTTGTTTTAATCCTAAACACACTAAAACTGAATAAACTGAAGACTAAACACTCTAAACCAGCGTTTCCCAAAGTTGGGGTCGGGACCCAAAGTGGGGTCCTGAAACATCAAGGTGGGGTCCTGAAACATCAAGGTGGGGTCCTGAAAAGATTTTTTTTGAATTAATTACATTTTTGCCTTAGTTGTTAACAAAAGAGTGAGGTTAGTGTATTTAAAATGGATAAATGTAGAATAATAAATATTGTTACTATGCCCATGTTTAGTTGACCTGATACAAATGTTTATCATCCAAAAATAGTTGGGGACACAGGTCTCTGCTACTGTTACAGTGGTTTGCAAAAGTATTCATACCCCTTGAACTATTCCATATTTTGTCACATTACAACCACAAACATAAATAT